CCAGGTATCTTAATATTTATTTACATGAAATACAATATAATTTGTGCGAATTCAAAAACATTTTCATTAAAACCTCACGTATAGTTTCTATCTAATGATAATATTCTATATAAATGTGCGCATACGTGTAACATTACATTCCATTACAGGATGGAGTAAGTGGTCTGATTGGACAGGTTGCAGTGTAACTTGTGGAACTGGACGGAAACAAAGAACAAGAAAATGTCTCAATTCAAAAAATAGTAAAGATTGTAAAGGAAATGATAAACAAACTGAAAATTGTTCTACTACATCTTGTCCAGGTATCTTAATATTTATTTACATGAAATACAATATAATTTGTGCGAATTAAAAAACATTTTCATTAAAACCTCACTTATAGTTTCTATCTAATGATAATATTCTAAATAAAAGTGCGCATACGTAACAATACATTCCATTACAGGATGGAGTAATTGGTCTGATTGGACAGGTTGTAGTGTAACTTGTGGTACCGGACAGAAACAAAGAACAAGAAAATGTCTCAATTCAAAAGATAGTAAAGATTGTAAAGGAAATGATAAACAAACTGAAATATGTTCTCTTACGGATTGTCCAGGTATGATTCTTTCAAAATCAAATGAAAACCGAAACGTTACAGAAGAAGCTGCTACTTGACCGAGTAATCTTTGTTTCATTTATTCACTTACAGAATGGGCTAAATGGTCTGATTGGACAGGTTGTAGTGTAACTTGCGGAACTGGGCGGAAACAAAGAACAAGAAAATGTCTCAATTCAAAAAATAGTAAAGATTGTAAAGGAAATGATAAACAAACTGAAAATTGTTCTACTACATCTTGTCCAGGTATCTTAATATTTATTTACATGAAATACAATATAATTTGTGCGAATTCAAAAACATTTTCATTAAAACCTCACTTATAGTTTCTATCTAATGATAATATTCTAAATAAATGTGCGCATACGTAACAATACATTCCATTACAGGATGGAGTAAGTGGTCTGATTGGACAGGTTGTAGTGTAACTTGTGGAACTGGACGGAAACAAAGAACAAGAAAATGTCTCAATTCAAAAAATAGTAAAGATTGTAAAGGAAATGATAAACAAACTGAAAATTGTTCTACTACATCTTGTCCAGGTATCTTAATATTTATTTACATGAAATACAATATAATTTGTGCGAATTAAAAAACATTTTCATTAAAACCTCACTTATAGTTTCTATCTAATGATAATATTCTAAATAAATGTGCGCATACGTAACAATACATTCCATTACAGGATGGAGTAAGTGGTCTGATTGGACAGGTTGTAGTGTAACTTGTGGTACCGGACAGAAACAAAGAACAAGAAAATGTCTCAATTCAAAAGATAGTAAAGATTGTAAAGGAAATGATAAACAAACTGAAATATGTTCTCTTACGGATTGTCCAGGTATGATTCTTTCAAAATCAAATGAAAACCGAAACGTTACAGAAGAAGCTGCTACTTGACCGAGTAATCTTTGTTTCATTTATTCACTTACAGAATGGGCTAAATGGTCTGATTGGACAGGTTGTAGTGTAACTTGTGGTAAAGGCACATCGACTCGATCAAGAACGTGTATAAATTCAAATTTCAAAAATGACTGCAAAGGAAAATCTCAAGAAAAGCAATCCTGTGTTGAACCAGAATGTCCAGGTACTGATGTTATAAATATAAACATATTGAACTAAATAAAATATCACGGAGATTTATTTATTAATCTTTGTTTTTGATCTGATTCGACGGTGATTTTTTCAATAATTCTGGCTGGCCGAAATAAT